TTTGCGTGCGCTATTTTAGCGTACGCTATTTTTCTCGGAAATTGTCTGCGTACGCAAAGTGTCTTAGCCCTCATCCAAGGAGGATTCGTCATGTGAAGTTGGCTAAAGCCAAAACGAGCACAGTTAAAAAATGGCGGCCTCTAAGACCATGGCTGTGAGCACTCTGGCGTCGTCGTGAGCGCGACGTCGGCGGCATCCTCGCGATTGCGATTTTCAATACGTGACGATATGGCACTCGATTTGGAAAGCCCAGTAAGGTGGCCAGTGATTAACGGAAACTTGATGCATGCGACGCGCGAACATTTCTCGGCGAAAGTCAGTACACGAGACCTCTCAGAGGCGACGCAAGCGGATATGACCAGTCGAGCGCTCGCGTCGCATTGTCATGTTTATACAAATTCAAAATGTTACTCTAGACCGAAAAAAAAAAACTTGTTTTTCCTGAAGTTACAGCATTTCACGTGTGAAATAAAAATTGTCACTGTGTGTTGGTGGCGTTGCAAGCGCGAGGTGCTTGGGCCTTTGCGTCACGGCGGAGAAACGATATTCTAAAACTCTATTGCGTAACGTGCGCTAACGCAAGCGCTAAATTTAGATATAGCGTGCGCTACAATGGAGTAGGTTATTCTAAAACTCCCTAATTACGTCACATAACCTTGTGTCACGTCACCCATGATCGAAACAGTCGGAGGCTGCGGGGATCGAACCCAGGAGATTCCCAGCGCAAGCTTTCGCTCCACGCGCCGAGCAGTGACACGTTAGCCCACTCGCCCACCGATTCCCCTCTCTCTAAAAACAGGGGTGTATCCCTCTAAGTCCCACAATGATCATATATAACCTTCCTACCCGGAAAAATTATTTCTGTTTTTGTCAGATGTTTCCTTGTTTATGTCGCGTGGTTTTCCTTAACCGAAAGCGGGAGATAAAATTCCACTGATGGCAATTACAAGCTCCTTTCCAACTCTCGAGTAGAGTCCTTGAAAGCACGCCTTAGTTCAAACCACGTGCATAAACCGGACGTGATCTCCAAATGCGCTTAAAACGATGACACATTCTTAACGCATTGCTGTCTTGAAGCTTATATTCAACCCCTCCTGACCATCAGTCGACTGAGGATCGCTCTTACACAGGTGAGCTCTCTCTACGTTTCTAGCGTTACCATTGCTTGTTTGACATATGTATACGGTGGTGACAAAGCTTAGCAATGGAAATCAAAATTTTGTCCAATATTTGTAAAATATACTTATCGCACATAATCATCCGATATAAAATTACAACCAAAAGTCTACCACTTTGCCACTTGTGTTTTAACTGCGCAATTTGAAAAATACCGAACTTTTTGTTTTTTTAAAAACCGCACCTCCGAAAAGGGTGACCTATTCACTCACCGTGAGGTTTTGACGGCGTTGGCTTTTTGCTTCTTTCTCACTAATAAAGTTATATCGATTATACATGTTTTACAAGTGAGCAAAACGCAATAAAAATTAATTTATATTCAAATTAAAAAAAAAAAAAAGTTCTGAAGTGTTAGCACCGCCTACCATAAGTGACCAGAGCTCCTTTTTTTTTAATATACTAAACGTGGTATTTAAATCAACAGGGTATTTGGAGTCATTAAGAATTTAGTGACTTGGTATTCTTTCGTTTGCTTGCCATAATTTGTTCGAGTGTGTGGAGGTCGTCTTTGCGTATGTCCAAAAATATATTTGTGTGCTACTTCGCATGTATTTGTTTTGTAAAGTTGTTCGCTGTGAATCAGTTGTAGTAACATGTAATCATACATCCGATTAACTTTCAATGTGCTATTTCTTTTCAAGCGGTTTAGTGTGGAGGTCTTGTACCTTACCCTCGTAGTTTTCAAATAAGCGCGGAATATTTTCTGCAACGTAAGCTGTGTGCTATAGTTCGTAAACCCCACACTAAACTTGATTTGTCATTCCCCACACTGAACTTGATTTGACGAGCCCAACGTTCCCCCGCGGCACCGGTAAGTGTAGTCATGCGTTCCGACTTTTCTGCCTCTGTCGGCACCTTGCGCGGAGGAGCCATTAGGCAGTTTTAGGAGAGCGTTACCGCGTTCTATTGCGGCCGCGGTACGGTGCCTGGTGGGTTCTTAGAATCATGTTTCGAAGTCACAGCACGAGCTCATGGTAGCAATGCCATAAGCTCGCACTCAGATTTCACGAACACGTCTCTCACGCACGCACGCACTTACACAAAAGCTCTCTTTCACGCGACGTGATGTGACGTCCTAAGCGGCGTGATACGACACTTGAGGTGGCATGATGCGACGATGGATGTATTATAGGCAAAACCCCGAGACTGAGGGGAAAAAAAGAACAACACAACACAAAGTCTCAAAATTTGAGTTGTGAATTGTTCTTCTTTTCCCCCCAGTCTCGTGGTTTTGTCTATAATGTTCAACTATCACCAGCTTGTTTGCGCCCTCACGTTTTGATGGATGTATGGTTGAATGAAAAGGCTGAATTCTTTTAATGGAGCGGCGGCTTGCGCCATCTAGCCAAAGCTTTTAATTTCAACAATTAACTGTGTATAAAGTTAGAACTGATTAAGAATTAAATATAATTTTGTTATCCTCTGTCCCAGACTGTGGCCATCTAGTCGGTACTATACAAGAGACTCATACGCACATGTGTGCTCCACAAATACGTTTATAGAGCAGGGTGTAAATCCTGCGGTGTAGTTCTGTGGTAAGGCGTTCGCTTCACACGCAGCTAGACCAGGATCGAATCATGAGAACACCGCGGCGGCGCCGGCGATCTTTTTCAAGCATGTTTCGATATCGATGACGAACGCCGTATTAAAGCTACAACGACAACGAACGTCGTTTGCAGTGCTGGGAGGAACCCATAACAGCTATCGCTCTAAACAACCCCAGTATTAACTCCGGGCTTTCAGCGTCCCGGCCGAGCACATTCGCACGTGCAGTCGTGCAGTGCGTGCATTGTTCGGGCCAACGGGAACGTGCTCCGGCTTCTTTCACACATAAAGTGCCCGTCGCTGGCACATAAAAACAGACGAAACGCGAGAAAATCGCCCTTACTGCGGCACAAAATGTAGTGTCAAGTCTCCATTACGGGAACGAATATCACCTAAAGTTAAGAAATTTCAAATTGACGGCGTGCAAGTGTCCCAAAATGCGTCCTTGGCGCATCGGGACGTAAAGAGGAGCACGCCGACCAAAGAGCAAGAAAGAGAGCGCAAGGGCAGCCAAGCGTGCGTTCTCATTGGTTGAGGTCGGGGGGAAACAAAAGCAAGCGGGCGCGTTTGAGGGGTCAACAAACGCACAAGTTGCCCGAGGATCAGACCAATTTGCATGCCGTGCACTTCTCGCTAACTCTTTAGGAACGCGTGACGACCGCTCGGGCTCCGCGTGTCAACGGCGTCCCTGAAATTCCCGCGGAAAACTTATATAACCAGAAAAGCGAACACGCAATAATTTTTTTTTTTATTAACACTCATCAATAGCACTCGTCACATTTTTTTTTCTTTCACGTATGTTGAGTGCACAGCATATAATCTAAAAGATAGAGTATGCGTCTACTTCCTCCCAAATCGCTTAAGATACCCAATAGCTGCGGTCTACGGAGGGACCTCGCCGAATGACGTGGCTAAGAATGTGATTTCTGACCTCAAAAACTGTCTCCGTTGTTACACAGAAAATGACGTACTCACTTCAAACGTCATGCTGAGTGTAAGAGAGCGCAGACTATTTTTTCTTAGGTCTAAAACTCTAAAGATAGTTTGAAAATCGTCATTCAACAAGCCTCCTGCGTAAACTGTTTCGATTGGCCCTAACCGATAATTTTCAAAAAAAGTAGGTTGATCATATTTTGGGGTGTGGGTGGTTCCTGCCCGAGGGGTGCCGACGAACACGGTGCAACACTCGTAACTCAAATTCCTGATGGTCGTTTTCTCAAAAACAGTAACATTGGGTTCTTTAAGGATGTGGCAACGCTATTACACCGTAAATTCAGACACAATACCTCAAGACGAATGAGTAAAATGAACGCGAGCGCCTACTTTGATTTTATGCAGTGTCAAAATGCTTTACAAATCGGCGGGAAGCTAACCATCACTTGAAAATAGCTTGTTTTGTTTATGGGTATTAAAAACACGTAATATACTTTTGTTACCAAACAATACTAATCTCAGCAGCCGACCATGACATTCGAACCTGGAGTTTTGTACCGTCGTTCATTGGCCTCTGTTTTAGCTCCTGCTCGTTGGGTCCTGCTCGAGACACATTTCGAGCCATACTGTGTCGAGATGCTCGTATATGGCTTCTTGAGGTGCCAGGAAACGCTGCCAAAAGCGCTCGAGTACGAGGCACCTCCAAAGAAAGGCTGCACAGATTTGACGCACTAAAGCGTCGATATCTAAGCATGTTTTGAAGACAAATTTTAGCACGCTTGGGGCATCTACAGGACGCTCATGCGAGACAGAGATCACTTTTTTGTATGACTCACGCTTTACATAAGTTTTTCGTCGACGGCCCGTTCATCGAAACTGATGAACTGATGATTCACAGAAAGTAACGATCGAAGATCTGCATGCAGATATTTATGGAACTACCGTACTCTATTGACCCCATGCCTCAAAGGCGCAATGACGATTAAAATCAAGCTTGGAAAAGAAAGCATAACTTTCTATTTTTTGTATATAGTTTAATTACTTTTTTCTATATGGCCACAAAACCTTTTAAAAAAGGAACATTATATTTCAAGTTAAATAAATGAACACGGTAGAAATAATGAACTTCTTATTTGGGCGGATAATCTAAAGATAGGCCGTAGTGATTGAGCGAATGTATTTATCACTTCTCAATTATGACACATACGTGGGACTAAACAATACACAAAATAACCTTTTAAAGCGTACGAATATATCGTTTTATTTCAAATGATCTTAGTATTGAAAATACACTGATCCTTTTGGTTTCACTTGACTCAATCTTAAATATAAGATAAAAAAGGCAGATGTTGACATCTTACAAGCGAATAAAGGTGTGTGCCTTTTCCAGAAGGGCGTATACCTTGCCGCAATGGTATTTTCTCGTTTCAAAGCATTTGTGAACATTGGCTTTACCCGACGTCCTCAGATACATTGCGCTTGGCATGTTTCTTTCATTGCAGATCATGGAGGCCACAACACTTGTGGCATTCTGCCTCGTCCAGATCTTCCTCGCCTGTTCCCAAAACATTGCTCAAGATATCGTGTCGACAAAATCTGGAGACGTCCGAGGCATTTCGCTGCGAACTACGACAGGACAGCTACGAGCGTTTTTAGGCATTCCTTACGCGGAGCCCCCAGTAGGAGATCTCCGATTCAAGAAGCCCGAGCCTAAACAACCTTGGAACTACGTCTATAACGCAACGTCCCTACCGAAGATGTGCCCCCAACCCGATGTTTACCTCAACAAGTATTATTACGTTAATACAAAAAATGCAGTGAGCGAGGACTGCCTGTACTTGAACGTGTATGTTCCCATCACAAATAGGCCTCTGGCACCTGTCCTCGTATACATACACGGCGGGGGCTTCATCTTTGGGGGAATATCAATGAACATCACTGACACAACCGAGCTGAGTGTACGTGGCGATCTAATCACCGTCGCCATTGCGTACAGACTCGGTGCTTTAGGCTTCTTGAGGACAGACCTCGAAGACGTGCCCGGAAACATGGGGCTCTACGACCAAGCCTTGGCCATACGTTGGGTGAAGGACAACATCGAATCCTTCGGAGGGGACCCCAACAAGATCACATTAATGGGACAGAGTGCTGGATCTATCTCCATCGGAATGCACCTGATGTCTTCCAGGAGCAGAGGACTCTTTCATCGTGCCATCATGCAAAGCGGAAGCCCGTTCACAAGAATAGTAATCAATGATTACGATAAGGCACGCAGCGCTGCCAGGAAACTCGCCGAAGCCCTCAGTTGTGAGACTGAAAACCAAACGTTCAAGACCGCACCACAAAAGATTATCCGATGCCTGCGGTCAAAGAACGCTTCGGATATTGTTGCCGCGACTGAAGGTTTTAGTTCCGGTGGCCTCCATGCCTTTTATCCCCTTTTCGGTGAGGCACTTGTGCCAGAGGGACCTCTTGCAGCGCTGGAAGCCGGACACTTGCCTGCCGTAGACGTCCTTGGCGGAGTAACAGAAGCAGAAGGAGACTTTTTTGTTTACCATTTTCTCAAGGCTTATGTTGATCTTTCCACCCTTAAAGAACTTACAAAAAAAAACGTGAAGCAATTGATTGCAATATTTCTCACCGGAACCGTCGATGGAGACACGGAGCCCATATTAGATCGTTATTTTTCCGACGTTGACGAGAACGATGGCGCGGAGGCCGTTCGAGTCGGCTCTGATATAATTGGACATCTTCAATTAAGCTGCCCTACGTTGGAATTCGCGAAGGGACTTCAACGGTTGAACAACTCTGTGTATATGTATAAACTCACGGTGAGGCCATCGTTTGGTGACTGGCCGAAGTGGGTTCGCACCACACATGGAGATGACATCTTCTTCAGTCTCGGATCCATGTACAAAGTGGCGGACAACTTTACAGCAGACGACGTCAAAGCTGCGGACAATATGATACACATGATCTCAACGTTCAGCAAAACAGGGTGAGTATTGTCCTCTGCGATTACATTGCTCCGTGATTTAAAACGTAAATTATTTAATGGTGTACCTGGTTGAGTTCCCGTAAAGCAATATTTAAAGGAGATGGCCTTTCGCACACGCAAAAAAAAAAAAAAGATAGGAACTGATAATTCGGATGAAGAACTTCATGTATTTTATCTTTAATTTTCTTTAAAATTGCTTCGATGTCACGAAGTTAATAAACAAATGGCTGGAGTATATTGCCAATGAGTTCAAACTTTAGAATTCGCTTTGCCTTGCTTGTTTCCAGAACCGGTCTGTGTTTACACGCTTGTGGCCTAGATTCTTTACATCATCAACGTCAATCGCACGGGCGGCACGATTGGGCACAAATGCTGCCTCAGCGTTCTGCTCGGGCTCTTGCTCAAGCGGTGCTTCGTTGATTGGACACTAGCCTTCTGCTACGTCTGCCATATCCGCGCCGTAAACAAATGATTCATAATTGTCGTCGTCACCATGTATCTAGTTATCAACTTTGCCGCTAGGGTAGCGACGGCTGGATCTACCCCCGAATAGTGTCAAGGGGTTTGTTTCCTGATTGTTTTCCTCTAATATTCGTTATCTAAATTACGATGTGGTTCATCACACGGGTGTATAAGTTAGAAATTGCACCTCTTATTTATTTGTTTTTCGTCAGAAAGCTTATTTAAACTTTTATTTCGTCTTTTTTTTTTTTCGTGCATTTTTTCTGGGAAGAATATATTGAAGATGATGATGCCGTAATTTTAAAGCTCATAAACAAGGAAGCATACACGTACTACACATGGCGGGACAAAAACGGTACTAAGTTTTGGAACAGAACGAGCACGCACGTGCTCGTTTTGCTCCAAACGACACTCGTGCCAACAAGTGCCGTACCGCGTTGCACGCGGTGGCATGTGACTTTAGGTTATCTCGATTACCTCTGCTTCGATACTGTGATGAGAGCATCCGCATCGCGACATGCATCATCGTCCTCATTCACGCGCCAGCCCGATGTTCGAGAGACTACACGTCTGACCATGTAACCGTTCCTTTACTTAATTAAACTAACCTGTGTTTCGTTTTATGTTCTTTGGCGAAGAGAACGCACTGACAACCTTTCGTGCCGGAGTCAGGCTGAAGACTGAGCTCTCGTTTATTAAATCTAAAACTAAATGAAAGAAAGACGCCTCGGGTACGGGGCTCTCAGACGGCTCAGGTTACGCGCAAAGTGAGGAACAGATGTTTACCTTCGGGCTCCGCGCGAACGGTGGGTTCCTGGAATTCGCAGCTCGCGAGCGTCGGCGCGTCGGAGACTCCATAACAATCTGTACACCTTATTCGACACAGATACGTTCTGTTTCGGTACATTCGTAAGGGGGTATTCACACGAGGGCTGCTTTCCAAGGACGAATGTGCCTGAGGTCAGTGATCGGCGGAACCAGCGAGACTTTCTCCCCGACTCTAGCATTCACGCAAATGGCTGGGAGCGGAGAGCAGTGTTGTTAACTTAATGAGAAAGTCGCTACAATTAGCGTGTTTTCAATCGTCCGAACGACAGTTATATCTTTATAAAGTCTTCGCAACTTTTCTGGGCTTTTTTTTTTATATATATAGTTAGGGAAGTTAGCGTTGCTAAAGTATACGTAGACGGGTAGTCGCTAAGGCTCAAAAACACATAATCTTCTTCTTCAGAAGAAAAAAAAATAGGTCAGTGGCATAGCTGTTTAAAGGCTTCCAGTGGACAGCTTTCAACTTTCAACTTCATTGGCTCACGCTCTTAGCGTAGTCTTGATACAATGTTACTAAAACACTCAGTTGGGAAATTCACCTTTGGGACCCGAACCGCTCGCGTCCACCGAGGCCAAGCCAAAGACAATAACAGCGCAGCCCTTTAGCGACAAGTCGAAACATGAAAGTTGATCTGTATAGCTACTGCGAATTGGCACTGCGAGATGGCGCCACCAGTCCTTGCGCGACTCGACCTGGACCAACACGTGCAGCTGTACAGTTCCCGGAGCGGCCGCTACAGGAGAAATGGCGGCGTTCCGAACGCCTTTACTTTAGAGTGCCTTCATACACACGTCTCAGCCATTTTTCCGCTGAATTGTTTTTCATGCCTTTTGAAGTGCGCGCAATCCGGTGTCACTCAGCTCGAGCGTGTAGCTTTGGCTAATGCATAGACGCCATCTTACCGCCCAAGCCATGCACCGAGTGCGCGAGAACGTCACGCGCTGGCACATTCAGTGCAACAGTGGATGTCTTTACCTTGAGACAGACAGACATGCAGGCACCCTACTTTACTTCGGTACTCGAGTGCTGATCGGAGCCGCTTTTTCAAAGCAGGCTCTATGGCAGTTTCCCAACTGAGTCGTTCTAGCAACGTTGCCTTGACCTGGTGTTTTGACGGCGTTCGAATTTTGGTTGCTTCTTTGAATTTCCTTGGTGATCGCGTTCCGCACTTCAACAAGCACGCTTCTACATAAATAAAGGACGACAACTAACCACAACCCTAAAAATAGGAAGCCTACGTATCGAGGCCTACTCGGCTCTTCTTCAGAGGTGACTACGGCGATGGCCTTTGAGGAGCAGCATTTTTTTTTTTTTTGTCTCCTTTCAGTGACGTCTTCTATTTATTGTTTTCGCAACCAGAAAGATTTCTCTCAAGCGTTTACTTTCCATGCTTCTACATGTGACAATATGAGATGCTCAAGTTTGTACCCGAAACAAGGGCTAGCAGGTCCCTTTTCACAGCGCCCTCTGGGCAACGCAAATAGCGTGTAATTAAAAAAAAAAAATTTTTTTTTGAACATTTATTTTGTCAACTTACCGATGACGAAACACCAGGCATTGAAATTATTGAGCGTGTTTGCTTATGAAAGTCACCTCATCCGGCTTTAGTAGTTCTTTGAAACCTAGGTTTCTGTTTCTTTTTCTCTTATTCGGATAGTATACAGTTCCTGCAATGCCGGTTGTCGCAATAACCTTCACCGCAACTCAAAGAGCACACCACATGTTCACGACCAGCGGTTTTTGTTTTTAAAGCTTTACAAAAATAAAAGCCTATGATTATTTGTATATATATTATATTAGGACCGGTCGTCAATTAAACTTTTAACCCAATTAATCGCCGCCCTTTAATCGATTAATAAATCGATCAATATGTTTGGTTCATTTCCGTGCACAATAATTGTAAAAAGTAAAATAAATTACATCTTTTGTTATTGCTACTTTTACTAGATATGTGATAAATGGCGCAATATAGAATTTTGATTGTAAAGCAATCTCGATGTGTAGTTGAGATCAGTTCAAAGACACTCAAATTCACAAATTATTACTTCAGCTGCATGAGGCAAAGCGGTTCTTTAATATTCTCCGACAAGTTCTTCAGCTGCATGAGGCAAAGCGGTTCTTTAATATTCTCCAACGTTCCCAAAGTGTGCGTGCGTGCGTGTGTGTGTGTGTGTGTGTGTGTGTGTGTGTGTGTGTGTGTGTGTGTGTGTGCGTGTGCGCGCATGTGCGCGTGCGTGTGTGTGTGTGTGTTTTACGCCGTAAAAGATTGGCGTGCCTTGTGTTTTTGTAAAGTGCACTTATTTAGTGGTTTCTGATGACACCAAAAGTTTCGTATAGAAACATATTTTTAAATTTAACAATTAAAAATGTAATTAATCAAACATGTCTAAGAACGTATTTCTACCCTTTCTGCATAACACGCTGTAAATAAAAACATGAAATATCTTCTCCTTTTTTTCAGAAGACTTTTAAATAGTTTTATTCAAAGTATTATGTCTTAACGTTCTTATGCGCTTGTTGTTGTTTTCTTTTACAGGATCCCAGAGACCCTGGAACAACTTCCCTGGCCAAAGTTCCAGGACAAAGGACAGTTTATGGACCTCAGTGTTGAAGGTTACAAGCCACAGAAAGGAATTCTCCGGTCCGAGTGTGACCTTTGGAAGAAGGTTTTACCGTTCGTGGATGGGGTATAGAATAGAAATGTTTTATTTAATCAAACGATTTATTAGCAACATCTACCTCGAGATGATCAAGCATTCCAAAATAAAAAAAGGTTAAAATTTTATGAGGGTGTAGGATGAATGTTATGATCCAAACCCTGAGACAAGAAGAAATAAAAGCACAAACAACAGTATCTTAACGATAATAATCCCTGGAGAAGGGAAAGAAGGGGGACAAAGGACAAGCACAAATCTCCAAACTCAGCTAGATGACTGGTGCGCGACTGAAAAAATCCGCCTGGTCTTTGTATCGAACCAGGGATTTCTCCATTTCTAGTGGAGCGTTCTACCAACTGTGCTAACCAGGAGCTAGACATCAGTAGACCAAACGGGTTTTAACAGCTGCGACCAGTCTAACACCAACAAGGCTGAACGGCCTGCCTTTTAAGGTTATGACGATAATGCAATTAACTCAAAGGAGCAGGTGAACTTGCACGCCGTATTGTCGACCTGTTCATGTTCCAGCCACAAATTTCGCCTTGAGTGAGCGGCATCCCCTGTTCTGGCTGTTCCATTAAGCTCTACGTAACGAAGCAGTTCTTCGTGACGTACGAAGACCGCACGAGCCAAGACTGATGCAAATACACTCTGCACCACGACAACGTAACGCCTAGTGTCACTAAATAAGCTACGCTTCAGAGTAACGACACCTGGCCATATTGTGTCTTAAAATCATGGTTGCCAGTTATCTGAAGCTTTATCTGAAATCACAGGAAACGCTTCTCCGCCCTCCACAAATGATTAAACAGTTCGATACATAGAGAAACAATATTACATGATTTTCCTAACACCGCAGGTAATGCTGAGGAAGTCGCACCTTTGAATCATGACGATCGGCAGTTGCGTTTGCTCTGCACAAGCCCCAAAATGGCGGCGCCCACGACAATGTCGGGGAACGGAGTGCCGATACTCTAAGCGCAGCTCATTTAGTGACTCTAGTAACGCCCAACAACGGATTTGGTGTTTAAACAAAGAACCAGTGTCTCAAGCATGTGCCCGCGAGGGAACACCCTACTATGTGTTTTATATTTCTGTTTCGTTTTCTTTCTTTTGTCATCTTTATGGAGATCTTGACGATGTTCTTCCTTTTTTGTAAATATAGTTGTGAGTAGCGCTCTTTCCTGTCTGTTCTCTCTTCTCCATACGTGTGCGCTAATACCGTTCACATGTTTAATTACCAACTAGCCCAGTTATCAACCCTTTTACAGTTCTTCGGCCGCCGCCACGATCGCACCCCCATAAGATAAGACACATTTCACGTGTTCTGTACACGTTTGGTGAGCACCGTTCTATGAGCTAAACATTATAAGTCTAGGGCTGGGCGTCGATTAAAAATTTTAACCCGATTAATCGCCACCCTTTAATCGATTAATTAATCGATTAATCGGTTGCTTTGATTTTTATAAATATTATATTAAAAGGAGTGGGCAACAACTTGTCTTGCCTTTGAAGACTTATTTTACTCTCTATTACACGGCGCAAAAGACATTTAGAATTGAGGATACATATAGTTCAACGATTCAGACTCATATTTTTGCTCCAGCTCCGAAGACAAAGAAGTTTGTCCACATTCTCCGGCAGGAAGACAAGAAGTCAGGGCTTGGGCGATGCTTTCCTCTTTTTTCAGAAAATGGGCGTCGATGAGAAGGCGTTGATTGTTGTCTGCGTTTTGGCGGATCGTCCTTGCCGCAGCGGCGTACATGGGTGCTTCGCTCGTAGGCGATACTGAAGCGAACTTACGCTTCCACTGTACGAAAATGGCTTTTTGCAGATTATGCAGTGGACTTACTTTGAGTTAAAAACTTCACCGCTGGAGTTTACTTTAAACCCAAACTTTCCAGCGAGATTTCCTTTCATACTCGTGTACTCGTTCATTTTTACGGGCCGAATACTGGAACAAGTAACTATGGCGTTGTTAGCTTCCCAGGTTGATTTTTGCCTGTTTGTCTTGCCTGGGCAGGATGTGTAATAGATCCTCAAGACGTGAAGTTTCGCGGTCGCCCGGGAATCAGTTCCGGGCCCGGCTTGTTCGTCGGGCTTCGGCAGAACTGTAATGTCAATCCTCGAGCACGTGACGCTTCGCGAGCGCTAGAATCGAACCTTGCTCATAGCACCTGGCTGGGAACGGAAAACCGCTCGGGACAGAACGACCGGATACACGCCACGCAGCGTTTTCCTTAACGGGGGGAGGGGGCGGGGGCATGAGCCATCCCTAGTTCAGGCAGGTCGTCCAGGATAGAGCCATCCGTACGTCCAGTTGACTTCTGTTTGAGCACCGATTAAAAAACCGATTAACCGGTTAAAAGAATTGGTCGCGATTAAACCCTTAATCGATTAATCGGAAGGTTAATCGATCAATTGCACAGCCATAAGGTCCAAATATTTCAAACATCGCTAAGATTTTCTACAAGACATATAAGTTCAGGTACCAGGGCCCGTTTGCTCGAAGCGCTAACCGCGGCTAAAGTTTGCCGCAGTACCTAAGAGAGGGATTTTGAGATCACGTGACTGGCTCGGTAGGGATGCGGGGAAACATGGCGGTGCCCCAGTGAGTGAGCGCCGGTCGCTTTGGAACTAATGTGTCGTTGTAGCTGCAATATCGGGCGCGTTAGTCAGCAACGAATAAGGCAGGAGGCTTTCGCTTTGCCTTTGGAAAGTGGATTGTTGATAGCACACAAAAGCAGACAGCGTCCTGACAGGCTTTTTTTCTGAATTATCCAAGCATCGCGAGGAGAACGCTGGAAGTGTAATTCTACTGTTCACGCGCGCTGGCCTTCCTCTTATAAAAGATTTGAAGTAAAAAATCATAATAAGTCTTTAACGAACGCGCGTGCAAGACAAAATTTGTATTATACTTTTTGCTCTAGGACGGTTACTACTGCAGACGCCAGCACGTGCGACGCGTGCAACTACAGTCGTAGCATGCACCTCGGTGCTTGGATAATATAGAAAGAAGGTCTGTAGGGACGCCGTCTGCTTTTGTGTGCTATCAACAATCCCCTTTCCAAAGACGTTGCTATGCCGACAATATCGCGTTCATTTAGGCTTAGGAGTGCCCAGAATCGAAACACTATCTAAAAAATGCGGCGATGTCATTGCCCATGCTTTGCGGTTTAAGTGAGGTAAGGCAAAGCGAAAGCCTCCTGCACCATTCGTTGCTGACTAACGCGCCCGATATTGCAACCACAACGACATAGTTCAAAAGCGAGCGGCGCTCACTCACCGAGGCACCGCCATGTTTCCCCGCATCCCTACCGAGCCAGTCACGTGATCTCAAAATCCGTCTCCTAGGTACTGCTTCTAACTTTAGCCGCGGTTAGTGCTTCGTGCAAGCGAGCCCAGAAGTGTACGAATGTTCCAGCTTCGAGTTTGAGTCGAGTATAATGAGTGCCTGAATAATTCGATTCAACTTTTCGATTATGCTTCGTTTCAGCTGAAGTCGCATGCTACGTGCTAATGGAACCAATCAAGCAGCCTCAATAGTGTTGGTCACTGGGCCATCTTGGTTTATGATTGGTTCAGCGATGATAGAACATGTACAGAAACACGACGAACATCATGATGTCGCGCTTTTGGCACTTCCTATCCGATCGTAACGTCGGCTGCGTCTGGACTTAAAATGAAACGAAGTATAGTATTCGAGTTTTTGGATAATTTTATACATCGAATATCAGTATGCTGCTGGCAAAAAATTTGGTTTATCCATCAACGCTGTTGATATGGTGAAATCGTCCTCACAAGTCTCTGTTTGGTCTAAAATACGCCCGCATTCAGAAGCCTTGAACAAGGAATTATTTTTCTACAGAGTAGTTTGTTTCTCGTCTTCCTCGAACAAAGTGCGCGAGCCCCCAGCCTCTTGGATGCGCTTCACGAAAACCCGAAAATTCCGTATGTCGCAACTTTTAATTCAACTATCTCCCGTTACGTGCAGCCAGCTTTGTGTACTATAAACCTATTCTCGGTTGTTCCGTCCATAATACGCCAAAATATTATTAAAAGTACAAATAACAGTGCCAAATGACCCGACCTCTTCCGCTAACATGTCGCTCCCATCAGCATCGAGCGAGGAGTCCGTGCTAAGAGATGCTACACATCACCTGATGCAGGCGGTTCAGCCATATCCGCCAACCCATCCAGATTGCTGCGTATTCACACGGGGAAGTGTAGACACATTCGTCAGCTACGTCTTAAGTTTCTCCTCTAAGTGGGGTCGTTAACCCTTTTCTTCTTTTTCAAGGAAAAGGCGTCCTGTCGTTAAGGTTTCAAATGCCCGTCTAAAAAATCCCCAGATGATGGAAAATAACACTCAGTCCTCCACTTCTGCGTGCCAAATGACTTCTATTAGTCTTGCCCTTTAAAACAGCAATTTGCCTGAGAAAAAAAAAAAGAGAGACTCGTTTCCCATGGAGAAAGAAACACTCCCCACCCCTGTGTGCAGTTTTATTTGGAATGAACGCTAAAAATGTTAAACAAAATGACCGGTAATCCGGCATACGTTTTACTTTGTATACCAAATACGTACCCCAAAATCCACCCAGTATTGTGTCGTGTGTATGAAAGGTAAAATAAATCTATGGGTGCTGGAATACTTTTAATTGTGAACTTAGACCGGAATTGAAACCCAACACAAAAAAACATTCAAGGTCGATTTGCTTTCGGGGAGCCGTAGCCGAAACCAAGGTAATTAGTTGGCAACCGATATTCTGTAGCAATTCGCACTCATAATAAATAGGAAAATATTACACCAGACGAATCCCGATGCGTGATTTTCAACTATCTAATGCATTGTATGCACATCCATGGCGTGGTAGAATTAAAGTTTCCAGCCGAGAACGTGCAATTAATACATAAAAGGCGGCACGTAAGAAGGGGATGACCCTAAAACGGGCCGGAAAATTTTGCACCTGCACGTTGGCTGCAAAGTATTAACAACTGTTTGCTTTTATTTCTGTTACTTCAAGCGTTAATCTCGC